CTAAAACTAAAACCTAAAAAACGGTAAAACGTTTAACTTAATTATTTACTTTTACTTACTTACTTACTTATACTATACTATCATATACATATATATATATATATATATATATATATATATATATATATATATATATATATATAAGAAAAAAAAAAAAGATTTTGAGTCTTAGAAATAGTGCATCTTGTAGCACATAATTTAGACCGTCCGTTTTCAAGATTTTTATATGTTTATAGATCTACTAGATTTTAGCCATTTTTGGAGTTTAAAATTTTATAATTAGATTTGAAAATATATTTTCAGGTAATGCTAAGAATTTTTTACACTAAAATTACATATTATGATAAATTTTAGAGGTGCGCCTTAATTGGATTGTTTAAAGTTGCAACCTTATAGAAACCACACCCTTTCAATAATTTATTCCACTTGAGTGGCCCAAACAAACGATAGGGAGTACCCCCACTTGTTTTGGGTCCGTAATACTGCTTAACTGATTATACACATGGTAGATGCGAAGATCCTACAAACTATTTTGAAAAGAATTTTCCTGTATTTCTTGGCTATAGAGGATTACAGACGATCTAGATAACTTGTAATAAGGTGCACTATTTGTCTCGAAATTTTGTTTTTTTTCGTATCCATATATCTAGAGGTTAAGATGATTAATTGGAGAGTTTTTCAATGTTGGAATAGTCTCTACTGGTGGGTTTATGAGGTGCACCTTAGTTCAATATTATGAGGTTGCAACCTTTAGATAAAACCTTTTTCAACATAAAAAGAGTGCATGTGTGTGTATCAAACAGCGAAGACTTGTATAGTAAGTTTTTTTATTTGTGAACTTTAAAAAGAGGCTATTCAAACAGGAATGATTTGACTGCAAATTTTGGGTATGGTCTTAAAAGATTAACTTTTTCTTGGGTGAGTCTTAAAAGATTAACATTAACTTCTTTATTGGGGAAGCGCATGGATATATATAAAGAGCGACGAGGACGCTAAACTGCAATACTTTGAATAAGCACGTATATTATGATCCCATTGGAGCATCTTGTACAATTACTACCTTTGATGACAGTGCAACCAAGGACTCTTTAAGATTTGAAATTTTGAGATCCACATAAGAATCACTGTAAATTATTTTAGAAAGAAAATATTGCTTTTTGAGTTCATGCACACTTAGATTTGACTATCTGAAAAACTACATGCTCTCTATTCAATTTTAAAAATGTCATTTATTTTTATAAAGAGAACGTGTGACTTCCTGTTTTAGAAATTTATGTACGGACGTAGAAAAAGATGCAATATAACCCAACGTCCATATTTTGGAAATATTACAGTGACGTCCTACGTTTTTTGTAGAATTTTTTTTTTCCCCCTATATGAAACTCTAATTTCAAAAACCCCAGAAACCAAATATAAAAAAATAAAAAATTATGTGCCTAAACGTGTGTTTGGGGGCTTTACGGATGTCCAAGTTTTAAACCACCTGAAAACATATGTTTGGCATGTTCGAAAGGTTAATTTTCTATTCACCCAGAGCAAAAAAAATTGATGCATTTTAGTGGTTCAAAATTTACTAATATATATATATATATATCTTAGGTGGCTCAAAAGTTGATTTGAAGGTCCAAATTTTGAACAACTTACATGTATTAGTTTTTGTGTGTTTTGGGTTGTTAGAAAGTTGGATTTTTGAACAATTCAAATAAGAAAAAGTAGGACCCTATGTGTTTGGTGCAATTTGTATAAGGTGTTAACCTTGTACATTCAAAGCAAGGCTGACCTCCCGACCACACTGAAAGATGTGGTTAAGTACCGAAATTTGCTTTGATGGCGTAAAAATATATTTTTGCGTCTAATAATGTAGTTTAAAGCTCTAAAAATGGTGTACATCTAGCACATCAGTAAACATTTAAAAAAATTAGAAATGGACGGTTTAAATGATGTGTTACAAGATACGTTCATGGCTTGATATTTTTTTTTTTTCATATCTATACATCCCTAAGTCAATTGGGATTTACCGGATGAAGAATAGAGAAAACACTTCCTATTTTAAATTTTTTATAAAGAAAAGTATATAAAGAGAACATGTACTTTTAATACAGGGTTTGCAATCACTTTTGCCTATCAGATATTATTGTGGGTGTGTCATTGATTAGGCTCTAAATTTTAAAAACATTTCTCGAATTTTTTGATATATCCCAAGCCATCTAATCTAACATCTAATGGCTACTAGCGATTGTCATTTCCTTCTAACAAATATAAATGGTCGCATAATATGCAATCTTTTTTTATAATTGCCATGCAAAGGCAAAAGTCAATTGCAACTCTTGTTGGAGCTCCATTCTGCTTGAGATACTGCATTTTTGGTTGAGCAAACATTTTATGTAGGTACCAAAACGGATGGTTCACTCAGTTTAGTAAAAAGGTAGTGCACGTGTCAAATTCACGAACTGTGAATAAATTCAAATTTCAACTGAAATCAACATTGTTCCAATGTTTTACTCGAAGTTGCTAGCAAGATAGAGTTGGGAATAAAAAATTCAAATCTTTTTTTGGAGTATATACTGTACTTCATTTCATGGTTATGTTCTGATCGTATTTATAAAATATTTTGAAAGTTTTGACAGATTGGGATGGCCAGCGCTCTAGAAACATTGTGCGGTCAGGCCTATGGAGCAGAGCAATACCAGGAGGTGGGAATATATACTCAGAGAGCTGCCATCACTCTCTCTCTAGTCTGCATTCCAATGTCATTCATTTGGGCATCAATGTCCAAAATTCTCTCTCTAATTGGCCAAGACCCCGCTATCTCAGCGGAAGCAGGGCGCTACATTGTATGGTTGATACCGGGTCTCTTTGCTTTCGCTCTTCTCCAACCCCTTGTCAAGTTTTTGCAGGCACAGAGCATCACAATGCCCATGCTCCTCAGCTCTACTGCAACTCTATGTTTACATGTACCCCTGTGTTGGGCTTTGGTTTTTCCATGCCAGTTAGGTAGCATAGGAGCTGCTATGTCCATGAGCATTACTACGTGGGCAAATGTTCTCATGTTGGGATGTTACATTAAGTTTTCACCAAAATGTAAGAGGACCTTAGCACCTCTGTCGAAGGAGGCTTTTCGGGGGTTAGGAGAGTTCTTCAGACTCGCCTTTCCATCTGCTACAATGATCTGGTCTGTTGCTCTCTCTCTCTCAGCCTCTCTCAATTATTATCGGAATTGTTTTAGTGGTAATGTTTTAAGAGATCGACATCTCTCTCTCTCTTTCTCAGTTTTATTCTCTGAATTGGGTCCGTCTTAATGATTATCAGTTTGGAGTACTGGTCATTTGAGCTGCTGGTTCTGCTTTCTGGGCTCCTGCCTAACCCCAAGCTTGAAACATCCGTCCTATCCATATGGTTCTCGCTCTCTCTCTGCCCCCTTCACGTTTTGTTTATTCTTTTTTTGCCCTTTATTCGTGTTAGTAATTGACTTGTATGTCGACAGCCTGAGTACCCTTTCCTTGCTTTACTCAATTCCCTACGGCCTTGGTGCTGCTGCTAGGTGAGAAACCTCAAAAAATCATCACTAAGCATTTTTTTCTTCATGTTTTCTTTTTAATTCATCCATTAAGAAGGTGAAATCTCTCTTTCTGGGGGCTTGTTTCAGCACTCGCATTTCGAATGAATTGGGGGCAGGGTGCCCACAAGAGGCTGCGCTAGTGGTGCGTGTGGTAATGGCAATCACTCTGACAGAGGCACTGAGCATGAGTGTCATTGTGTTTGTGGCACGCTATTTGCTGGGGTATGCTTTCAGCAACGAGGAGGAGGTGGTGAAGTATGTGGCCCGGATGGCGCCTCTTTTTTCAGCTTCCACCTTCATGGATGGCATCCAAGGGGTTCTTTCAGGTTCATTATCTCCCCTGTCTTTCCCTTTCTCTCTCTGATCAAGTCAATTTTCTTAAAAGGGTAAAAAGAGTTATAAATAAAAGGGACAGTATCCGTACGAGCGTATATATTCAGTACAAAAAGGTCACAATTAGATTGTCAGATGTGAAATTACGCAGTTGGGGTGTACTATTATCTTTTTTGGAAGTCCAAAAAAATTTTCCTCAATGTATTGGTGATTTGAGGGATATTATACAATGATCTGGATTTGAATTGGTTTCAAAATAGCCGGTGTCATTGTCTAGTAGAAAATCTCCAGAAAAACATAGACTAAGACAGCTCAGTGCGGTATCATATAGTCACTTCCCTGATGTGAAATAAGGCAGCTTGGCTTGTTCTGTTATCAATACTAAAAGTTCAGTAAAAGTTTCCTTTAGGTGTTTGTAACTTACATATCAAAGATACACGTTGTCATTGCATACAATCACCAAACAAAACGGATACAAGTAAGGTTTTAAAATCAGTGGATCATGTCAAGAATCACCATGTTTAACCCGAAACCAATGGAAGTGCGATTTGGGCTTAGAGAAGCCCAGTACCACCCAATTTCCCATTGGTTTTCAAATTTCTTTTATTTTGATTATGTTTAGTTGTATATGCACACTGATCTAGATCAGTGAATCAGGAAATTTGGAGATTCATTTGTTGATCGGACATGCTGCTCTAACCACAACTCAGAACCATATGGATGGGGGCTATATAATATTTGTTTTTAGGAAATATTTTTTCAAAATAAATCTTAGATCCTCAAAAGTTTCTTAACATGGTTTCTGGCGCTTGCGCCAACGCTGTAGAAATGGAGAATGGGGGCAGTTAAGGTGTTGAATGTTGTTTGTTTAGTGGGGAAAAAAAGGAACTTACTCTTATTTTAGGTAGCATGTATAAGGAGCATTCATTTTGTTCATTGATTTTAGCTGGTATCATTTGTTTTATTGCAGGGGTGGCCAGAGGGTGTGGATGGCAGCATATAGGAGCATATATAAACCTTGGGGCCTTCTATTTAGTGGGCATCCCCGCGGCCTTGGTCTTAGGTTTTATTGTGCAAATGAGGGGCATGGGCCTGTGGATTGGGATCTTGTGTGGTGCCACTGTTCAAACTGTCCTCCTCGCTCTCATCACACTTTTCACAAACTGGCAGCATCAGGTACCCAACCCCTCGTCTGAGTGATTGAAAGATTTCTAGATTGATTGATAAGAGGGAGAAATCGACGATATGGGAGGGAATAAGAAGCAAATTTCTTGTCTTAAGGCCGAGAATTCTGCAAAAAGATTATCAGATAGAGATAGAAAACCTAGAGAGAATGAGAGATATCTCCTCTAGAGAGGAAAAGATGGACTTTTATGAGATTTAGTGAGGTAACAGAGATCTGTTTAGGAGTGACATCTCTTGAGAAAGAACAAGGAAACTTTTAAAAGAGATATTGAGAGAAACAAGGCTTCTAAGGGAGCTTTAAAGATAATGGTGGCAATCAGGTAGAGTCGACCAGCCGATCAAATGGCTCAACCCGACCATGATCGAGGTTTGTACGAATATGAGACCCTGCAGGTCTGGGTCTGTGTCCAGGTCCGGGTCCGGGTCCAAGTCCAGGTCCAGGTCCATTTGCCCTGCTTAGGGGCTAGTCCTAACCCATCCATGACCTTTTTTAGATATGGTTGGGTTTGGGTTGGGGCCAGCCCGATCTGTCCCATTATTTATTTGTATAATATATTCATATTTATAACCAAGAGTTTCTATAAAGAATAAAATAAAAAATAGATGTTATTTTTATTTAGACCTAAACCCTCTAATGCTCAAGATCTAGTTCTACTGACCTGGCTCAGCATGGATTCGGGTCTAATTAGGACTCGTTGAAACAAGCCTATGCATTTACAATCCCACTTAAAGAGATTTAAGGTTTGTTTTTATTGTTTGGGGACGTTTGAGCAGGCAAATAAGGCGAGGGAGAGGGTGTTTCAAAATCCGGCTGCTGATGCTCTTCTTCATTGAAGGGAAGAGAGAGCATTGTTCTCACATTTCATGATCACTCACCATGTACTGCTGACGAATAATTAGGGATTGGATGGAGCCTTTCGAGGCAAAATTTTGTAGGATTATAATGTAGAGTAATCAAATTCAACATTTACTGTTAATGCCCAAACAGTTTTTCAACTGCTGCCCATTGAAGCCTGAACCATCGAAATCGGTAAGAGTATTTGAATATTGTAAAAGTATAGCATTTAGTGTGTTATATATGATTACCATTTCATGTGAGTGTGCGTTTTTAGCATTTCTTTTGGTGGATTTTTTATTGGTTGCAGCTATGAGTTGAGTGACAATTATTGTTATTTTTGCTTTGTTTAACTTAAAATCTCACTTGTAATCCAGAAGTTTAACTTTTGAAATGGATTTCAGGTCTTTGCGTCTCTCTCACTCTCTTTCTCTCTCTCTATATACTTAAAATCTCACTTGTAGTCCAGAAGTTTAACTTTTGAAATGGAT